TCATCAAATCTGCCAATGGCACAGAGCTCACGGGCAAGGCCAACACCAGGTGACTGAATCAGGATCCAAAAGATCTTAACAGATCAGAACGCTGTCGAATCTAATAAAATGCAACTAATGAAGAAGCAACGTCATGTCTTACACTTGGCTCAAAAGAAAATCCACCCTACGAGAACACGATGGGGGGAGTGGAGTCGGACGGCAGCTCACGCTTCTACCACGCATCAGGGGTGCGCTACAGCCGGCGAGAACGCTTTGTGCTTTCTGGTCACATAGGTGTATCTGTACATGTGTGCACACACACACACACACACACACACGTCAGAGGTGAGGTGGGTTAGTATAGTGGAGACACAGACTTGTCCTGGACACAGGGAAGATGTAGCTTGAAGACTCAAGACCCAAGCTAGCTGTGACTCTAATCATCTCTGGGCCTCATACAACTCTCTAAGACTGGAAACTGCAGAGAGCACCAAGTCTGGAGTTAGGAAGACCGGAGTTCAAATGTGGCCTCAGACACCTATTAGTGGAATCACCTCAGCTCTGTGTACCTCAGTTTCCCCAAATGCATAGTAATGATCATAATAGGGAAAAGGGAAGGGAATAAGCATTTAGACAGCACCCATTATGTGCCAGGCACTGTACTAAGTGATTTATAACTATTATCTCATTCCCACACCAACGCTGGGAGGTAAATGTTGTAATTATCCCCATATTATAGCTGAGGAAACTTAGGCAAATAGAGGTTAAGTGACTTGTCCAGGTTCACGCAGCTAGTAACTATCTGAGGCCAAATTTGAACTCAGGTCTTGACTCGAGGGCCCTGGAACTGTCCATGGTGCTAACAGCTGCCTCTGACAGCACCTACCTCCCAGGGTTGGTGTAAGGATCAAACGAGCTGACATTTGGGAAGCACTTAGCCCATGGCCCCCAGGGCGGCCCCTTCCCATTTTCTACAACTTTTTATCCAAAGCCCCTACCAAAGAACCACAGAGCAATGTTACCCTTTTCCTCAAAACAACATAAATCCCACACCAAAAAGTTCTCACTTTCATACATCATCCTCATGTCTATTCTTTACATACTGAGTTGCTAATGTTTGTTGATTTTTTTAAAATTTTACACTAAAAAGGCTACTTTAAAAATAACCTCCCCACTTCACTGCTCCCCAAACTCTTTAACTCGTATGGTTGTAATAACAGCTCTGTGAGTCACAGAATGAATGCTGTCCTCAGCCCCTTTTGCAGAGAGGGCTGGGCCCTCAGTCACGAAGGATCAGGACCTGGGAATGGAGGACGAGAGTCCTGAGGGCCTTCTTCAGTAGGCAAGGTCTAGCCTCTTAAGTCCTGACCTGGGCCTCTAGAACAGATACCAGGACAGTGGCAAAATCTGAGAGTGACTGCAAGGCAGCCAGCCAGGATCCCATTTAGAATATCGAAGGAGGGGCAGCTAGGTGGCACAGTGCTCTGATAGAGCACTGGCCCTGGAGTCAGGAAGACCCGAGTTCAAATCAAGTCTCAGACACTTGACATTTACAAGCTGCGTGACCCTGGGCAAGTCACTTAACCCCAATTGCCTTGAAAAAAGAAAAAGAAAAAAAATAAAGAACCTCAATAGAATATCAAAGGTCTCACTGCTCCAACTCTGCTCCTGGGTCCTCTCCCCAGTTACAAGGCCACCCATCACAGGACATCAGAGTCCGAAGGGAGCCTGCAAGGACAGCGAGCACCAGCAAAGTGAGCGGGCAGCAACAGAGTCAGCAGGTGAGGAGTTAGGCTGGACATGGAATCAGTGGCAATTCCAGGGCATTTTCTAAATGTGGCAGAACCCAAACACCAGACTTGGAGCCTGAAAGAAGACTACATTTAATTCAAGTCCACAAAGATTTATTAAACATCCTTAGTGTGTGATGCTGGGCAAATTACTTAGCTTCCGGGCCTCGGTCTCCCCAACTATAAAACAAGAGAGCTGCAATGAACGACAGCCTCTGAGGTCTCACCTGAGCCTCCAACCACAACCCTGAGAGGCAGGCATTACAGGTGGGGAAAATAAGTCTCCCAGAAGCTAGTGAGCACCTTGCCCTCAGTCACCCAGCTAGGGGATGCCTCTCTACTCCGTAGACCCCTGTGGCTCCCTTTGACCTCCACAGGCAATCACTGTCAAGTCCCCGGGTTGCCTTCCCTGCCTCCCAAGCTTCCAGGCTTCTGATGCTGGGCAAGACGGCCCACCTCCCCCTTCTGATCTTTCTCTGGCCACCCCAGGCCTGGCCCCTTCTCTCTCCCCTTGTCTGCACCTCCCAGCTAAAATCTCACCCTCGACAAGCAGACTTTCCTGATGTCCCGCAATGCTAGCACCTTCCCTGTTGGGCACTCCCAATTCATCCTGTTTATATTGCCGGTACTCAGTCAGTTGCATGTTGTCTCTCCCATCAGATTAGAAGCTCCTCGAGAGCAGGGACAGTTTTCTGCCTTTCTCGGTAATCCCCAGCGCTTAGCACAGAGCCTGGCACACTGCAGGTGCTTAATCAATGCTGGCTGACTGACCATGTTGCAGTCCAGACACCACAGACTGAAGGGACACAAATATCCTGTGCCTTTTGCCCCCCTTCCCCACAGGATCACAGAGTGAGAGCTGGAACGGGCCTTAGAGGCCATTTAGTCTAAACCCCTTGCTCTACAGATGAGGAAACTGAGGCTCGGGGAGGTTAAGTGACTTGCCCAGGGTTGCACAGCTAGGAAGCACCACAGATAGAATTTGAACCCAGATCTTTCTGCCTCCAAATCTCCACCTCTGTGGCCAACCTCCACCCTCCCTTTGCCCTGGGCCCCTTGTTCACCCTCTGCCCCTTTCCCGTGGGTTTCCAAAAGAACCAGAGAGAAGCAACTGATTTAAGGTCTCCCTTTGGACACTGCTGAAATAAACAGCAGAACAGTCACAATCATGGTGACTTTCAAGGTCATTGAGGAGGGAAGGCATGGCACGAGGCCTCCTTCCCTCCAAACATCGCTAGGGTCTCCTCCTATCTCCAGAGGAGGGACTGGAGCCCTCAGAGAGAACACCAGGTGGGGCTAAAGGAGAGCCTCAGACTTTGAGCAGCCCCCAAAATGCCCTGTGGCCTCTCGGATTGGGTCGAGCAGCATTTGGCTGGCTATATTGCGGCCCCAGTGAATTTCTACTGCCTGGGGGAAAGGAGGCTTATTCTTGGTTCTGCCACGATGAATCACACCTAGTTTATGAATGATGATGATAATAATAATAATGACTGACAGTTACACAGCACTTTGAAAGTCTGAAAAGCACTTTCCACGTAATTATCTCACTTAACCCTCCCAGCACTCCTGGGAGGAGGTACTGTAAGTGTTATGGTTCGGGGGAAAGTACAATCAGTCGATCTGTATTAAGCACCTACTACGTGCTTAGTGCTGGGGATACACCAACCAAGCAAATCACCGTCCCTGCTGTCCGGCAGTGAACATTCTAATGGGGGGAGATCACACAAATATCTGGGTGAATGGACACATAAGGAAATGGGAAGGCACCAGGCAAATGGGCGCTTCAGAGCAAGAACACTTGGGTTCAAATTTCGCCGCTGACACTTTGTACCTACATGAGCATCCGTTTGTTTTTTCATCTGGAAATGGGGATTGGAGAGTCCAAGCTAGAAGGGACTTCAGAGGCAAGGCCATCACAAACAGAAGAATGCTCACTACTGCCTCCAGAACCAGATCAAAATGTAACTGGGAAATACTTCACAAAATAAATAAAAATACATGATCAATATTCATCTCGCAGGGATCCTTCTGTATGGATGAGTGGGCCCCTTTTTCTATCTGAATGGACACCAACCTCCTCCTTTTACAGATGAGAAAGGGTTAAGGTATTAAATGTCACAGATGAGATTTGAACTCAGGTCTTCATGGCTCCAAACCTAGCACTCCAATCCCTCTGCCTCTCCAAGGGAAGGAATCTTTTTTTTTCAACTCCACAAGGATTACATAATCCTATTATAGGGAAATGTGTCCTTCATTCAATCAATGAGCATTGATTAAGAGCCTACTGTGTGCCAGGCACTTTTCTAAGTGCTCAGGATAAATTGTAGACAATAGAGGGCAGGCATTGGCATTAAGGAAGTTCAGGAAAAGCTTCCTGGTGAAGATGATATTTTAGCTAAGACTGGAAGGAAGCCAAGGAGATGGAGGTGGGAAGGAAGGAAGGGCATTCCAGACATGGCACTGCTAGAGGAAACGCCTGGAGTCGGGAGATGGAGAGGAACAGAGTAGGGGAGAGGAGTAAAAGTATGTGTAAGAAGGGAAAGGTGAGCAACAGCCCCTGCCCAGGACTGCCCACGGCCCACCCAAACGGGGATGCTGCATCCGCAGCATTTATAGCAGTCCAAAGGGGAGGGAAGGGGCGTCCCCGCGGGCTGGGTGTGACCCTGAGGCTACAGCTTCAATCAGGGAGCCTCAGTTTCCCCCTTCGTCTGGCTTGTAGTAGATAGGGCCTGGAGTCGGGAAGACACGAGTTCAAATCCAGCCTCAGACACTGACTAGCTGTGTGACCCTGGGCAAGTCACTTCACCCTGTTTGCCTCAGTTTCCTCATCTGTAAAGTGAGCTGGAGAAGAAAATGCCAAATCACCCCAGTATCTTTGCCAAGAAAACCCCAAATGGTGTCACGGAGGGTCGGACACGACTAAACACTCCCCCGCCCCACCGCGTCTGGAGCCACGGCCCTGCCCCTCCCCCTCACGGGGCTGCGGGGAAGTGGGAAAGAGCGTTTTTGTCAACTTCGCAATGGACGTGAAGGCGGCCAGTGCCGGGGGGCAGGGGCCAGCTCGGCCCGAAGGCCCTAGGTCCGAGTCCCGGCTTGGCCCGGCGGCCCGCGCGGCCCTGGGCGTCTCCGACCGTGGGGCTGAGGAGAGACACGGCGGGGGGCGGCCGAGCGCGGGGGGGGGGGGGCGGGTCGGGGCGCGGGGGCGGGGCGGCCTCGCGGGGCACTCACCTGCGCGCGATCCTGTAGAGCAGCACGCCGAAGGCGGCGCACACGGTGACCCCGAGGCCGCCGGCCAGGCCGCCCGCGGGGCAGCCGGCCAGCAGCGCGCTCACGGCCTCCATGACCGTTCCTCCCGCCGCGGCCCGCGGCCAGAACGGGTCGAGCGGCGCAGCACGACCGAGCCGGACCGGGCCGGGCAGACAAAGCGGCGTGGTCCGGGCGCGAAGGGGCGGCGGTGCGACGTCAGGAGCCACTCCACGAACGTGCCGGCGCCGCGCGCGCCTCCCGCCGTGACCTTCTCCGCCTCGCTTTGGAAGCGGCGCCGGGCCGCTCCGCGACACGGGCGCGCTCCCGCCGCACAGCCAATCAGGGCGGCGGGAGGCCGAGGGGGGCGGTCCGAGCGGAGCCGGGCCGCTACTGGCCGGCGCAGGGCCCGCCCCCTCGTTCTCCCGGCGTCGGCCCGGTGGCTGCGTAAGCCTGGCGCCGAGATTTGGCGGGCCCGGGGCCTCGGAATCCTCCTCCCGCACGGGGGAGGCCGGTCCCGAGGAGCCTCGGGTCCGTGGGACCCTGCTTCCCCTGCAGCCCACTGTGGTGGGAAAAGGGAGGGGGCGCACACTCGCGAGGCCGGGGTACGGGGGGTGGGGGACTGGGGGCACGCAGTCCGTTGTCCCCGCCCGCGGTTTTCCCATCAGCGGGGGGGGGGGGGGGGGGGCTGACCCTCTTTATTTGCGCACTGGGCTTTGCCCGCCCCCAGCCGGCCCCCGGGCAGAGGTCCGCCCAGCCAGGGGCATCCATCCCGGCCGCCCTCGGGCACAGGTCCGCCAGTCCAGGGACGTAAATCCCAGACGGCCCTCTGGCACAGGTCCGCCAGGCCAGGGACATCCATCCCGGCCGGTCCCCCGGGCACAAGTCCTCCCGGCCAGGAGCACCCACCCTGGTAGGCCCCGGGGCACAGGTCCCCCCGGCGGCATGGAGCAGCAGCAGCTGGTCAGGGCTTCCGTTCCTACCACGGCATTGTGCCTACTCACAATTTTAGTAAACCTCAAGGGTGGATCTTCATGGGAAACAGAAGTGATGCTGGGAGACCTCTCTCTAATAAGCATTTCACCAAAATTCCAACCAATTTGTTTAAACAGCTTCCCATGGAAATGCCCCATTTATATTCTTCCTCCACAACTCCTCCCAAGCCCTGGGTGTGTGCTCTTTCTTCCCAGCCAGGGGCAGGGAGCTGGGCTGAGTGATTTAAGTTGGCACTCCTGATGTGAATGCCTTGTCTAATTCACGTAAATAGCAATGAGCCTCTTGAAGCAAAGGCCCAGCCGCTAGCCCCACAGCCAGCTTAGACACAACTGCAGCAGAGCCCTGATGGAGGTATGACTGTTTATTGTTCTTTCAAGCCGTTGATGATGGTTCTCCGACTTCAGTCACAGTGGGTGAAGCAAGTTACGGCACAGTTTATGAGTACGCTAACTGACCAGTCCAGAAGGAGAAAAAGTAACCTTTTAATGCAATCTGCTGAAAACACCCTCTCCAGATCATCTGCAAATCATCATAAATTACAACTCTAAACAGTTCAAGCATGGCAGTCACAAACATCAACCGTGCTATTCGTTCAAATTGAAAACCACCTTAGCACAAAACATTAAAATCCTAGTTACAAGTATGAAGAGATTACTGAATTTCGACATGACTGACCTCTCATAGTTCAAATGAAGTCGACTGGTTTTATATATTACATTGAAACAGCACATGTAAAAGAGGTGGTATAAACTAGCATGCCCTTTTCTGACGCTCTCATTACTAGCAGTTAATTTTCCACCCATTTCCCAAGATATCTTAACTTCTAGGACACAACAGAAATGCCTCAGTGGAAAGAAATGTCCTTGTCCTACAGAGTTTCTCTTAGAGATCTAAGCAAATGGTTAGAAAACCAGACTATGAAATATACATTCAAAGCCAATCTCAAGGGGCTGTCTTCATGTGGTTTTAGTCCAAGCTCAACTTATAAAATTATTTTTGGCAGGTCTGTAGGGGTGAGGTGTGCCTATGGGCTTAAGGGGCAGACTCATGCTTTTGATGAAGTGAGGACGGGATGTGGCTACAAGACCATAAAAATAATTTCACATTCTAAACCGTTTCTTTCCAGACAGCTGAACATTTTTGCTGATCTCAGCAGTCTGAAAGCCTGGGTTATAAGCAGCATGAAAAAATAATGAAACATAACAGAGGAAAAAACAAGACCCCATCTGTTCTGGTCCACGTGCTCCTCAACATTGACGTTTGACTGACACCAGCAGGGTAAAATCTGGGCAGATTACAAATCAGCTCTCCTTCTGGAGCACATTTTTACTAAAATAAATTAATGCCTGATGTGACAGTACAATGAACATAAAAAAAGGACACAAACAAAATTTATACTTAAATTAAATAGCATGATTTAATTTAGTAGCTGCTTAATTCTGAATTCTTAAGTTAAAAAAATTGTAATTAACTATTAACGTTAATGAATTAAAACCTTCCAGAAAGCATGAATCCAAAAGGAAAAGTCCAGCAGGTGATAAGAGCCAGAGATGTTTCAGCCATTCCTGCATAAGTCTCTTAAACACTCTCAACATTAATGAGAAACTGCCCGGCAGTTTCTAATTAGTTGTTCTCCTAATGCCCATTTCCTGGCCTGTCACTTCGTATGGTCTTCCAGTAAGTACACAATGAGCTCATAGGTGGACAAGACGATAGCAGTATTTGGGATCTGCCGGATAAGCTGGGCAAAGAGTCCTCTGTAGAACGCCAGATAGCCCTCTTCTCGTGCTATCAGGCGGGCAGTCTGAATGAAAGCCTTATACTTGGTGCCCTCTTCTCGAAGTCGGGTTCTTATCACTTCTACAAGGAGAAATACATATTTAGTGGTGCAGAGGAACACTGTGTCCAAATCATAAAATGCAACACCACCGGAGAGGCTGCCATCCGTCTCCCCTCTCCAGAGCTTGTACTGGCTTCTCTACATGTTGTACCCCCAATTAGTAGATGATGCAAGCTCCTTGAGGGAAAGACTCCTTGTGGGTTGCTGCCTTACTCTGATTCCCCCAGTGCTGATCCAATACGTGGCACATAGGAATTGCTTAGAACTGCTTGGTGATGGAAGGCCCAGAAGCCAAGATTCCTAGTCTACGCTTCTTCCCTCCACGACCACTGTGTCATTTCCTGTGATAATTCACTCCACTCTGCATCTGCTGCCCAGATGGGTTTCTCCTGGGATAAGCTCATCACCTCTAATCTTACCACTAATCAAGTAGCTAACCAAGCCTGGATACCACCTCCCACCTCCTCCTCTCCTCTCCCCTCCCCTCTGGAGGGCTCAGTACCAAACTCCTCTCAATGCCTTCCTTTATAGAGGGCAAAACCTGGACTCTCAGATCACTGTACTTCGCATCTTCGCCTCTGCTTGGTTCCGCAGAACAAGTTGCCCCCCAAAGCCGGCAATCTCCCATGATGTCCTGTGCACCACCGTCCCCCTTCCCCATTCCCCCCATTTTCTTGCCTCCTTTCGTGTGTTGTGTCCCCCTTTAGACTGTAAGCTCCTTCAGGGTAGGGAACTGTCTTTTTATTAGTTGTATCCCCAGCTTTTCAGTGCCTGGCACACTGTAGGTACTAAATAAATGTTTATTGGATTGGATAACGGCCTGTTCCTAAGTGCAGGATTCCCCTGCTTCTTGTCAGAAACAAAATTATGCATATTAAAAACACAGGATGGGGGGGCAGCTAGGTGGTGCAGTGGATAGAGCACCGGCCCTGAAGTCAGGAGGACCCGAGTTCAAATACGGCCTCAGACCAAACACTTGACACTTACTAGCTGTGTGACCCTGGGCAAGTCACTTAACCCCAATTGCCTAAAAAACAAACCAAAACAAAACAAAAACAGAAAACACAGGATGACCACCTAGGAGGGGCAGTGAGGTGAATTTCATAGACATTTACCTATGCTCATTACATACTCTCATTACTGTGTATAGATATGTACAAGTACATCTTCTCAAACAGAAAGTTGAAGGCATATCTATGAAATAAAAAATTCCCAAAATAAGATCCAAAGCCACCTTAATTACTGTCTCTGCCTTGCAAACTCCAAATAACTAATTCCTCCAAAGAATGTTCTCCATACAGCCCCAGACCTAACAACTACAGTGTCGGTTATTATGAGTTTACTGCCCCATCAGATAAAGGATAACAACATACCATGCGGATAAGCGATACAGGAGGCGCACCCCTTGGAGATAGCAGCAGCAGCCATAAGTCCAAAAAAATTGGTGGAGTTTCTGCTTCTCTCAGTTCCGTTTGCAGAAGGGGTTAATGGGACCTCTTTTAGCCATTTCTTCAAACTTTCATAAATAGCAAAACAGATTATGGTCTCAGAAATGCCAGCATACGAGGCAGTCAATCCTCTGTAGAATCCACGAATGCCTTCTGTCTGGTAAACATAACGAGCACATTGGACAGTGTTCATTTGTTTGGAACCCCTCACTCTGCAAAGGGAAAAATAAAAGAGCAATTAACATATCTATGTTTTAACTCTTCCCACTACACCAAACGGCTGACTTAGAAAACGAGAATGAGGATCCCTTAACCAACCTTTCTGTGTGATTAGGACTGATAGTGATAATAGATTCTGGTCTCCTGCTAACCATCAGACCTTAAAGCAGAGTTCAGAAGAAAGAAAACAAAAATCACTTTTCTCCTTTTCCACACAAATCAAATATCAGGAGCTCTGCATATGCCACTTTGAAAACTGGTTGCACTAAACCAGAATGGCACACTAACCATCTGGGTTGCACTGTCACTCATCTTAATTTTTCATAGCACTTAAACAAGAAAACAATCGTACCAAAACTACGTCGTCTCATGTTATACAGACATAAAATGTACGAAACAAAAAGATTAGACAAACTAATTAACAAATTCAGAGAAGAAAAGCCATAATACAAATTTTCAAACTTCAGTTTCTGGCATAAACCCAGTCATAAAACAAAATAAGACTCTGAGGAACATTATCTTAATGAATTATTGTGCAACTGTACTTGGAGGTTTATTCTGATGGATGAATTTCACTGATGTTGGCATTTTCTGTGTACAGTTTTATTTCCAATTTCAAGCATTCCATCAAATCAAAAGGACCTGCTAGGTACAAATCACCGTGCTAGAGGCTGGGGATACAAAAATTAAAGCCAAACAGTCCCAGCCTGGGTGAGGCTGCTGACTAGGCAAAGATTAGGGAAGCAGACACTGCTTCAGACCACCCTAGTGCTGAGGAAGCTCTTGCCTCCCTGGATGGCCGTCTCTAAAAGCAGAAGGTTGGGATGGGGAAAAAACAGCCTTCAGGACTAACAGGCTGATTGCTACCAACCAACTAGGGATACGGAAATACGTGAAACTTCACGTACGCTGTACTCAAAATTGTAATTATTTGTAAATTGCCTAGCAGTACTCTTAGGACACAGAGGATACAGAGGCAAGTCCAAGGAAAATGGTTTTTGTTTGTGACAGATCTCCTCTGAGTCATCATTAAATAACCCTTTATTTAGCTATTGGACATCACTAAGAAGCACAGGCAAAAAAGAATCCTTTCTCAATCAATATGCAGTAAGACACATGCAGAGGAAACATATGTGGTTTTAAAAGACTTTCAGTCTAAAATTCAATTAATTACTTACTTCCGTTCTAACTGCATCCGGGTTTTAACCATCCATATAGGATTCATTAAGGTATTTGTGATAAAAGCTATAAAAAGAGAAAAACAGTGAAACTGTAAGGGAAAGGAAAGGAAAAAGCATTTTCATGGCACCTACTATATGCCAGCCACTGTGCTAAGCACTTAAAAAATATTATCTCTTGATCTTTATAACAACCCTAGGAGGTAGCTGCGATCATTATGTTCATTTTACAGCTGAGGAAATTAAGGTAAAGAGAGGTTGGTTAAGTGAACTGCCCAGGGCCATACAGCTAGTAGTGTCTGAGACTGGATTTGAATTCAGGTCGTTCTGACCCAGACACACTGAAGTCCCATTTCCTATGATTTGAAATGTCTGACAGAATCTCAGAATTGGGAGGGACTTTTGGGAAGAGATAACTGAAGCCCAGAGGTGAATGACTCGTGGTCAACTTGTTTGGATGTTACATTATGATTCAACGATCCTAAAAAACTGCCCTCCCGACCCACTTATCATGGCTGTGTCCTGGAGCAGCACTGTCCCACACCTCCAGGTGGCGCTGCTGCTATTTCTCAAGCTGTCTCCTGAGCCTCTGGGGCAGCCCGGGCGCTGGGAGCACAAGCACTCCCTGGCACTGACCTGGGGAAATGTGTTGAACCAAGTGCCAGCTCTCCCAGACGGATGCCTAGCACACACAGCCCAGTGTCCAGGCTCCTCATTCTATTACTCATAGGCAACGTTTTCCAAGCATCCTCATAAGAACCTTGCAAAGTAGGTGGTGGTGTCCCCATTTTATAGGGGAAAACTAGGCCTGAGAGATGTCAGGTGACATGCACAGGGTCACACACAGCTGTGCTTGAGGAAGGATTTGAATTCAAGTCTCCCTGACAGACTCCAAGCCTAGCACTCTATCTACTGTGCCACCTCTACCCCATATCATAAAATGCATCTGGGGTGTGTGTATAGAGATTTTTTCCAAAGAATTTTTGGAAAACATCTTTCTCAAAAGAGTATAGTTTTCCTATTTTTTTCCTCAGCAATCACAATTCCAGAAAAAGGAGAATAAGCCAAAAGGCTAATACTTCATTATAAGGACTCAAAAATATTTAAAAAAAAATTAAGAACATAAAACTCAGATTAGTAAAGGTTCATCAGTTGTGTGCAGAAATTATGGGGAGTGACCGAAGAAACAGAAGACTGAAGTATCTAAGTCTGGAGAAGTTGCAATCTAATCAGGGAGAGAAAACCATACCAAAAACCCATCAAAATACCTTATAAAGAAACACGTACCCTAGTAGTTACATGCAAGGTAGAGTGTGCACCAGAGAACAAGGGTTTTAAAACAAACAGGGGAAAGCCCCCAAATACACTTAAATAAAGGCAACGCCACGGAGTTTCAGGCTACCCTCTTTCATGAGAGAGAAATGTAAAAGAAGACTAGCTAACTTAAGCAGAGTCAGTGATGCAGCCAAGCAGCTCCCACAAAATCTCCTACCTGCAGAGCCAGAGGAGAAAATGTGGACGACATTGCTGTTAGGCACAAAAATGCCATTAAAATGCTCTTTGGCCTTGGAGTAACATGCAAAGTAGACAGCCCTGTTAAGAGACAGAAGAGAACTCTGAGAAACAGCTAAAGGACTCAATAGTCTCTACACAATATCTGAAAAATGAGGACAACATCCATCTGCAACAAAGCCTTCACTAAGCAGAGCAGGGAATTCTCATCCCTCCAGGAACTGTGTGCAGTGAGTTTTCCAGAACAGCAGAAATACCCTGTTATGAATATTTTACCAGATAAATGAAGATTATATGTCCAATTTTTAAAAAAGCTTTTTATGGAAAATTTCCTGTAGCTATACTATGGATACTTCAGTACTTATACTATACCTTAGTAACCAGAATGTCTGAACTTGTCAAAGGAATTGCTAGGATGGCAACACTTTCCATGGACAGAGATCATAAGATAATTCTGAGGGCACTGCTTGAGGTATGGAGTATAGTGTGTAGAATGCTGGGCCTTCAGTCAAGAAGACTCAAGATCAAGGTTCGAATCCTGCCTCAGACACTTACTAGTTATGTGACCCTGGGCAAGTAACTTAACCTCAGCCTCAAATTTTCCCATCTGCAAAATGGGGACAATACCTTACAGGATTGTTGTGAGGCTCAAATGAGTTACCAATATGTAAAGCAATTTGTAAGCCCCAAAAGCCGTATTAATGCTAGATATTATTACTGACTAACCCAGGATAACAGAGTTTAATAAGCAGCAGAGGCAGGATTCCAACCCAGGTCTTTTCTGAGCCCCGAGCCCAGCATTCTACCTAGGCTGTCTCTAGCTGTGGTACATTAATCATCATTAACTTAGTCTTTCTCTTGATGATTAAGGGTTACATACATCAACCACCCTTCTATGCTGTAATCGTTTCAGAAGAGACAGAGGTATGTAAGGCGCTCTAACTGCTCATGTCACACATTCTGTTCTAACTGGCCCATCTCTTCTCTTCCCACAGAGGCATCTCTGTTCTTCGTCATCACTTATCCACATCTCACTGACCACTGTCCTCTTCCTTCCTGCTTTTTTCCTTGTTATCGCTTCTTTATTTGTCACTTCTGAGTTTCATCACTAGAATGCTCTATTCTTCTGTTATTGATCATGTTATTCCCTATGTAATCTTCAAATGTGCAAGTCTCTTGAACTATTTTCACTATTGCTTACGTTTACCAAAGGGTTTTCATCTAGTCAAAAAGGCCAGCATTTCCATGCATTTGATGTGTTGCTGAACATGAATTTCAACTATGGTAACTCATGAAATTTGAAAAAGACTGAAGTAACCCCATAGATTCAGCAAGAATATGTATTTTATTTCCTCCATATACTCCCGTATTATAAACTTTTTAATATACTATTGATTTATAATGTTTTATTATCTAACACTGCATAAAGACTAAACTATACAATAAAAGGAAATATTTGTTCTATTAAAGGTAAATTGTGAGAGCCTCATAGTCTAATAGAGCAAAGCATACTCATTTTTAACCTAAAGATAAAATAATTAGTAATCATATCTTCAACTATAGTATGCTCCAACATTTTATTCATTAAATATCTTTGTATACATTAAATATTAACATACTCCCAACACATGAATAAAGAAATTTAGCAATGTTACCTTGATTTTTAAAAAAAAAGATCACCTTACAGAATAAAGTATATGAATATTTTGTCATTCTTACCTTGATGGTGCAACTCCAACCAAGTTTGGACCCAAGCCTCTAAAAAGTGACCTTGGTCCCTCTTTCTCCAAAATTGACCTGGACAATAAAAACACAAATCAAAAACCTTTGTGCATGACTTTATGGAAAATTATGAAACTTAAATCGGTTAGCAGCCATCAAAGTTAGTACATTGGAAGAGGCCAAACTAGACACTAGATACTTGTATAGAAATGTATAGTATAGGAATGTAGTAAAACTGGGACCCTCTCTTTGCTATGAGTATAAAAATATGCTTAAAAAACATTAGCATATTGCCTATAAAAGGTGCTAAATAGGTTTTCTGAAATAATTGTTTTGAAGAACAACTCCTCAAGCCCTTTCTCCATTCACATAGGAATAAAATATCCAGTGCCCATATAATTAGCTAAAATTGTGACATAGGGTGAAAGAATTTAACTAAAATCATCCATTTAAAAATAAAGCTCACCATGCAAAGAATACAAAGTTCAAAAGGTATCCTTTATTTGAATTTTTCATTTTATAATTCTACTCTCTATCTTTTGAAGCATCAGGAATCTCTAAAAACATGCATCTGAGCCCATACCAAGGTCATTATTTGTGCATAAGTTTTAAACATTCATTTCATAGTACAGCTGCATATTATGTAAGAGTTGCAAGTTCAATATTTCCAAGGAGATTGTTACGACTGCAAACTTAACACATTTATATATAGTGTATTCTCCTTTCTAGATTACCATAATAAATTTGGACAGATGCCTAAGGTTTTTTCCCCATGAAAAAGGCTGACTCTTAAAAGTTTTGGTCAGGAAGAAATAAGTCAGTGTCAATAATGCCCAAGAAACTGCAATTAACCAAAAAGGGAAGAGAGTAGTTAGAAAGCTCTGAGCCTGTTAGTCCTGCCTCTGACACATACTGGCTAAGTGACATTTGTTCAGTCACTAGCTCTCATGCCTCAGATGATTCTCTACTACGGAGCTACAGAGTAAAGTGTTGGTAGCTTACTGTGGCCCTTAATTTTCTGCTCCTAAGAGGTTTTCCTTACTAGGCAGGTATAAATCCAAGCTCTTACTATTTGACTCTTGGTTTAGGGACTCCATGAGTCAATTTAGTTCTCCTCCCCACATGCAATGAACGTGCACATCAATTATGCTTCTCTTACTCCAAATGGAGAGTCTCAAAGAAAAAATTTCCTATACTCAGCCAGATCCTGTAATGAGGTTGCCCCAGTGGAATGTAATGTATGGATACCACTTTGGTATGAGCTATACCTTTGGTCACTGCCACTTTATTCAATAATGAAATTCATGATAAAAGATTTTTCAAATGGATAAAAAACCTGAAAAAGCTTCTCGTTTGCTTGTGGCCATCAGTGAAGTACACTGTGCAGCAGCAGCATCCATTTAAAGCACAGCCTCAGCTCCAGGAAGCTCCAGCCCTTTCATCTACGATGCAGCAGAGAGCTAGAGTCCTCAAGTGACTCACTCTCTTCAGAACTGCATTTATGCAGATGAACACCACAAGGCCAAATTGCATATTACATAATCCAATAACTATAACCTATTGGCATCTTTACTCAATTTTTTCTAGAGCAACAAACTTCTTACTAATGGGCATTTGAGCATCAAAATAAGCCTAGTGCCTGACACAAAGTAGATGCTTGTTCTGAATGGCAATAAAGACACTTAGAGATGAAAACAGATGTTTTCCTACCTTTAAAAACACAGCTACCAGTCTCTAGATGCTTTAGTTCAGAAAGAGGAGTAATAGCTAATGACCTAAGGACTGGGTTATGTTAGTCACTGCATGCAAGTCAAAAGATATAAACCCTTTAAAATAATAATTACTAAGATAAAGGTTGCATCCTTAACAAGTTATGTTGCTTTCTAGGATTTTATTAAACTTAGAGCTCAACAGGTCAGATTAGGGCTGCCAAATAGCAAGAAAGTACCTCAGCTACTTAAAGACCAAGAGCTCTGAAATTCACCCTGCAGAAGACTTTTAAACAAGGAACTATCTAAAATCAACTGGTAAATGACCACAGGCTGCTTACACTTACATTTAGCCTGTATCCAATGATGAAAATTTTGCCTCTTTTTAAATAATTATATCTTACTGCAGAATTAAAAATTTAAGGTCTTTATTACTCTACTCCAATATGGCTAACACAAAACTAAGACAGCACAAAAAATGTCTTATTTGCCCTTTGCAGTACTAACTAACCTATTCAGTTAAATACTACTTTCAAATCACAGGGCTAATACGGTAATAGCTTAAACTTTAAACAAATTATCATATGTAAGCTTCTCACCGTGGGCTTTAATGCATGCTAGAAATGTTAGTTTTCATCTCTTCTTTTGAAAATTTGAACAAAGCATACATAATGTGTCCCAACTGTCATCTTTCCACTTTAAAAAGCCTTTTCCACCTATTTTGTGAGTTTAACACCAGACACATTTTTCACTTAAATCAGAAGTTATCTCAAGCTCTTCCTTGACTCACTGGACATAGATCCTAAAAGAGGTTCCTTTTTAGCTATTTACTGAGGTCACCCAAAACTGAATAAGGATTTAAGCAGTATGCCCCTGTTGACACCCATGTAACAGCTTCCCTATTACGGTAAATGTAAATTCATTAGTCATGAATTATTTGGCAAGCACAAGAGGAAGTTTATTTTCAGTGTTAATAAGCTGACAGAATACCTGTCTCAGTTTCAACATTTCAAAACATCTCCTAAAGCAGGATATTATTGTTTGAACTTGTGAACTGACAAAACCAAGGTGGTGATTCTTGGATTTTTGTATAATCTAGCACCTGAATTTAAAATGGCTAGTTTTTCCACTGTTAAAAAGTCTTCAAAAACAAAATAAAGTGAGAATTCACAAATGAATGGATTTCACTGCAGAACAGGCAGGAGATATAAGGACAGGACATGAGTCAGGTTCCCTCATTTCTCTAGTCCTGATCTCCTCCTAGTTCCTTCTCCCCTCCCCTGAGCTTCATCCTATCACTCACGACGCTCCCCCCCCACCCCGTTAACTCCCTTTCTCTAGTTCAATTCCTAATCCTGTAGTTCTCACCAGCCGGCAGCTAGGGGTGGTCTCTCTGTCTGTTCCCGACAAGCACCTAACTGATGCACGTTTGGCGCTGAGTATGAGCAAAATGCAATGTAGCATTCCCTGTGAATGAACTCAAAAGACTGTTCAATATCATAGGTATTAAAGAAAAAATAAAAAGGGCTCTCTCAATTTTACACCATTTTCTACCACTGCCCCGAGCTAAAAGAAAAAAATGTTTCAACTAAAAAGCTTCACTGACAATCTCAATGGTCCTGTTTTCCAGGTACGTGCTTTAGATGTCTTTAATTTATATCTTCTGAACTTCTAAGTTTTGCCAAGAATGAGGAAGCATGCCAACTTTTCCTTAAGTGGCTCAGGCATAAAGACAAACATTTTCAAAACAGCTTCCTTCTATCATTTGCACCTCCCAGCATGCACTCCTCTTCTTTTCCACACTTAATTTCCACACATAAAGCCAGTAACTCCTCACATCACCAAAGAGATCTGACCAACTCCTTCAATCCCACTTTAGTTTCCTTTGATAGAGGCTACTTTAAGATTTGATCACAAGCTGCTGACCTTTCGTGACCCCTCACCACTTGTCATCCAAGGAGCAAAGATACATTTGTATAATGCTGGTAAAATGGTAAAAAATCTCATTTAAATTGGATTAACATCATTCAAACAGAAAATTTTTATTTCATGTGTCCCATGTTCCAGGCATATGAAGCATCATAAAGTCAAGAGTTAAGAAACAAAAGTAAAACCACTCACTTCAGAACCTGTATGAGTCCAGGTGATACTGATGTTGGTCTGACCACTCCTGCTCCACTAATGGTCCCCAGCTGAACTTGAGGATAGTAGACAGTTCGTAAAGCTAATCTTGAAGACTGAAGTCTGGTCTTAATTACCTCTAGAGGACAAGTAAAAATAGCACCAACAGTGCCTCCACACCTGTAAGACAGAATTTAGAATGTCAGAAAAATGGCTATTTTGTATATAATCACAAAGTGTAAGCAAAATCCTTATTTTAATAAACTTCCAACACAAAGTATTTAAATCTCATTTATTTCTCCTAATTTGGAATTTAACTCTGACTTAATGAACTCATCTTTAAAATACACAAAGAAAAGGTTTGCTAAGCCAATTATAGTGGCCCAATAAGATCTCAGGAATTTTTTAAAAATAAGCAGCATTTCAGTCTTTAAAGAAAGCCACAATTTACAATTCATTAAAAAACAATTCATTGGACTTCTACCTGTCTCTCCCTCTCTTTTTTTTCCTCCCTTCCCATCAAACCAAGGTCTAATAGCCAGAAAATGAGACCCAGATTAGCTGGGTTTCATATACTGTGCCTAAATGGTCCAGCTATACAACCATTTAGTGTCCAAAGTGGCTCTCTAAAAAATTTAGATTGTTGTAGAGAAGTTACTTATCTGCATAAGCACAGAGAATTCCCTCACCAGGCAACACAAATGATATTGCAGGTCCAGACCAAAAGAAAAAAAAAGAAAAAAAAATCCATGTATTTCAAAGGATCATAAATTTAAGGCTGGAAAGGACCTGAGAGGCCATCAAATCAAATCTCCTAATTTTATAGAAGAGGAAACTGAAGCACAGAGTTATACAAACTAATAAATGTCTGGTGGCAGAATTCAAACTCAGGACCTCCTGACTCCAAGTCAAACTGATTATCCACTATACCACTCAGCTGCCTGTATATACATCACCTCGCTGCTTGTAAATGTCATCCCGTATATCAACTATTTTCTCTGCCAAAATAATCTGCCTCGCATAAAAGCTGACAGCAGTTCAGAGTTTGTGTTAACTTCTGCTTATAGGGTTATATTTTTAACTTGAAAATAAAAAACTGGATTTCTGGTCAAAGATGACTGTTTGAATAAAGGCAGATAGCTGAGCTCCCACACCCTGACTCCAACAAAAAACTTAAATATAGCAACAAATGAAATCATGATCAAGGAATCTAATGACAAACTATAATAAGTGACTTATTCTACCCTAGAACTGCAGAAGCCCACAGGCTCTTACCTGGGTAAGAACCAGAGGGCAGATGAAAAAAGCACTGACCACAAATCTCCCCAGATCACACCACCTCGGAAGCACAGAAAACTTACGCAAACTAGCTGTGAACAGAGCAGGCGAAAAAAGTCTGAAACTTGGGACAGTGCTCCTTTACCCTAGGTGAGCACAGCCCAACTCTAATATAAAGTTTAAAGTCAAAAAATAGACTGGAAAAATGAGCAAACAACAAAAAAAGAATCTGATTATAAAAAGCTACTATGGTGACAAAGAAGGTCAAGACACAAACTCAGAAGATAATGATGTGAAAACATCTACAGGCAAAGCCTAAGAAAATTACAGATTAGACACAAGTCCAACAAGAACTCCTGGAAGGGCTAAAGAAAAAGACTTTTTTTTTAAAGAACAAAAATAAATTTTTAAACCAAGTAAGAGTAGTAGAGGAAAAACTGGGAAAAGAAATGAGAGCAATATAAGAAAATTATAAGAGAATTAACTGTTTGGTAAAAAAGCCACAAAAAATAGTGAAGAAAAGAACTCCTTAAAAAACAGAATTGGCCAAATGGTGTAAAAAAAACCCAAAACAACAAAAGTCACTGCAGAAATCCTTACAGAGCAGAATCAGTGAAGTGGAAGCTAATGATACATCAAGAAACAATAAAACAAAGTGAAGAGAATGAAAATGCAGGCCTTTGGTCTCTGAGGTCTCTGGCACTCTGTCTTGAGTGCTATATAGGGCTGGAAGATCCAGCACTTTGAACCTCAAAAATCTAGCTAGGGCTACGATGTGGGGGTTGGAGGTTAACATCAGAACCTACATAACCCAGACTGAAACCAAGAAGGGTTGACCACTCCACTCAAAAACAGCAAAAGGCAGCAGAGTCTGGCCCTGGTACAAAGTACCAATTTTGGAACTAAGACTGGAGAAATGACTAAACCAAAGAAGATACAAGCCACTATAGAGAATTACTGATCCAAAAGATAGCCACAGGCAATAGCGCTCAGGGTAGCCTGAGCCAGCAAGAGCAGAGAGAGGCTTCCCAGAGAAAGCCCCAGGGTGGTCAGAAACCCATAGCATCAACCTTGGAAACAACCAAGAGCTGAAATCAATGACCAATGTGGTAGAAAATTCAGGCCTGGTAGAGCCAAGCTGCTGGAGTAGAGGGAACGTTCAAGTCGAACTCTCCCAACATTCCCCTCCAAACAATTTTAAAATCATGCGTCAAATTGAATTCTGGAGCAGCACAGCCACTGAAAGATTGGAGTGAGACATGTTTCCAGCCCAAGACAACTAAGATCAGAAGGAGAGGTCTATGGACTGGGGCAGAGGCTGGTCAAGAGCACAGTGTGGTCCAGGGATAGCAAAGAGACTGAACAACTGGTCAGAAAGAGATTACAGGGAATCCTTGTGCATGTACAAGGCACAGGACAGGTGCTGTCTGGCTTCATTTCCCAGCTCTAAGGCACAGAGGAGCATTCAAAGTTGTAAGGGATTCTGCCTTATAATCATCATATAAAACACAAGCCTATAGTACATCAATAATATATCCCACCTCAAACAAATTTATCTTCTATTAAATTCTGCTCTGTAGTAAACAGTGGCACAGCAAGGTTCCAGTGTTTTAAAAGAGCATATGCTCACAGTATAATCATCAAAAGAACTACCACCTCCACCCCCATTACACCTGACTAGAACATTTTAATCATTGGATTATAGACTGAAAGAACAAACAATATCATTAACCAACAGCCTGATGGTATTGAGTCAGAGGTAGAAGAAAAGCAGTCAGAAAGGTCAAGATTTACAGCAACTAGATTTTTCTGACTATTTAGGGAAATTGTGGTTAAACACTTTCTAGTTGCACCATACCTAGGACCACAGACTTAGAACTGAAAAGGGCCTGAAGAGATTAATTCTAATCCCTTCCTATGAAGAAGGAAAAAACTGAGGCTGAGAGAGACTCACTCAAGTTCATACAGACCTCAGGATTTGAACCCTTAATCTCTGACTCCAAATCCAGGTGCTGTTTCTGCTACATCACAAATCTTTCCAATTCTATTTATTATTTAGTCCAAGTAAAAGATGTGCCCTGCAATACCTAAAAAAAAAAATATTACGCACCAAGTGAGTGCTAAAAATGTGTTACTTTCCAATTAATTCTGGGCTATACATAAGGTGAAATGTAGAATTTTAGGGACCTGGTGTCCCAGTTAAGCTCTGCCTCCCTCACTTAAACACAGTAAGTAGGGCAAAATTTTGTTACTATTCAAGTAAATAGCCGCTCTAAAAAACTAGATAGAACATATCTAAAGAAAACAGGTGTAGAAGTGTTAGGCAGGATATGAGAAGCAAAAAACAAAATTCTATAACCCAAGTCAATTCAAATACCATTACTGTTTTCTCTTGAGAAAATTCCATATATATGGAAAAAAAAAACAAAACACTTATTTGAGCTAATAATCCCATCACAGGCAATCAGCCTCTGGGCCCGACAGGTAGATTAGATTAATGCTCTGTTTGAAGTGTACTTTGTTTAATAAAATGACTCTCAATGGAAAGAAAATGTGGGTTCTGAGTATGTCCTTTCATCAGCTCATATTGTTTCTCGGTCAGTTGCACTCGTAACCCTGACCAACTATCTTCTTAGTCCTAGGCCACTGGTCAGTGAGGATCAGGAAAAACTGTGGATAAACAAAACACGCCCAGCTGTCCATGAGTCAGTACTGTATTCAAGAGGCAATTATACCCACGGTTACTTTTTTTTAGAATACTTACAGAAACCTTACAGTTTTTAATATACTTCTCCAGAATGAATCTCTTGAACCTTAGAACTTAGAAATAATACTGGTTTCAAAAGACCTTTGAAAGGTAATTTAAGATTTCACATCAAAAAATTTGAGTATAAATTTTAATATCTTCAATTAGATGAAAAGAATCAATTCCAATTTCAAAGCACATTCCTTCTTGAACTGATCATTTTATCACTATGATGTGTAAAAATTGTCTATTTACTGCTATTTGATATTTTTCACAAGTTTAAATAACCTGGATTCTGGAGAAAGGAAAGCCATAGCAATTTTCAGATCAACTTTAGCCCTTTTCCCCTCATGAATCAATAAATAAAACATGTTTTTTGGAGTCTTCTCTGGGGAAAAAATTAAGTTAAGTGATTAAAACACAACTTTTATTTTTTTTTATATTTTTATTTTTTTGTTTTCAACATTTACTTCCACAAGATTTTGAGTTCCAAATTTTCACCCCATCTCACCCCTCCTCCCACCCCAAGATGGCATGCATTCTGAATACCCCCCCCCCTCCCCTGCCTTCCTCCCCCCCCCCCCCCCCCCCCCCCCCCCTTCATTTTCCCTGTAGGGCTTTTTTTTTTTTTTTAAAGAAAAAAAATTCTCAGAAGTTTTCAGTACTTAAGACTGTCCCTCCCCATGGCGCTGTGGCATGAAAGCTGGCCTCAGCACCAGAAGACAGATATATTCAAGTCCTGCCTTTGACATATTACCAGCTCAGTGTCCTGGGGTAAGTCATACGCCTCAAGCATTTCTCTAAGATAGTAATGTGCAGGAAAGGCCCTGGCTTACGTTTGTAGAAGCTCATCCAGGAAAATCCCTAATGGAATCAGTCCTATCCCTGTCCTGTTGAATACAGGTGACATATTTAATGCCAATGAATTTTGTCAATACATGAGAGACTGCAAGATTCAGATTTCATCTTATATGAGCCTTGTCCCTGACTTCTTCTCTATAAAGAAAACCCACCCAATCCACTGAAGCCTTCCATCTCACTCTCTTAACAGGGTGGGGGGTAGGAGGGAGGGAGCAAGAAGAGAAGGGATCAGAATACTCAATCTTCCATCTGTTAAACTGTCTCTTTTACTACATGAGACTAAAAATTCCATCTC